CTACATCAAAGCATATTTGTTTACATTCATCAATACGTTTTTAGCATATATATGTCTTAATCACCTTTACCTAACCTTTATAAGCAACTCAATGTTCAAATTTAACTATTAATATTTATACTTCTAGATATTGAATAGCCAAAATTATTCTTAATCTTCAATTCATAACAATATCTTGTGTTCAAAATACACATCTTATCTACTTGAATATATTCTATTTTAAATCTCATAAGTAGGTCAAGACCCCATTCTTTTTCAGTCTTATTCTAGCTTTCTTTCTTTGCCAAATCATCTTCCATGTCCGTGCTTTTGAGTCGTCAAACCAATCTCCTTGTATTGTTATATGTATTGTGTAATATTGAAAAGACTATCCAGTCGCCATTTTTTTAAGAAGGCTAGCAGGTCTGGCAGGTCTAGCAGGTCATCTCTTAATTTTTCCCTCTCGACATAGTTGTTCTGAATTATTTATCTTCTCTTCCATCTGTTCCTCTTCTTGATCCTCAGGTTCCTTCTGGTTTATATAGCAAGTTTTTTCCTCCTTCCGTGTGGTCAGATTGTTTTCTGGACTTTCCATTGGCTGTACTTGTTGGGCAGTTAAATCTTCTGTCATAATATTTAATTGTTCCACTTTTTCTGTTGTATTCTGTATGATTGATTTTTTAGTTGTAATCAAAATGTGAGTTTGCATATCTGAGCTGCTTTCTCGTTTTTTTCTGAAGGCTCTCATTTCATTGCCAGCTGTAAGAAGCGTTTGGTAAATTGCTTTCAACGCAGCAATAATTTGTTTCTGATTTTCCTCCATAAAAAAAAGTCTGGTCTTGGTCTTCTTCCATAATGATGAATTAGATTAGAAGCTTTTACAGGTTTTTTTTTGTTTTATTTTTTTCAGTCAATAGAAAACAAAGCTGAATCTCTCACAGCTGGTGTTTCAAGATTGAATGAATCTTATCTTGTTTTCTGGGCTATCAGCCAAGTCTCTTTTAGAGAATAACAGATTTAAGTTTCAGATTTAGCCACAAGATGTCGCCCCTGTCATTTGAAAATTTCTTTTCAGTCTCAAAGTTATTTTAATCTTTTCTGTTTTTCTTCTATTTTATGAGGAAAAACCCAGATCTTTAATAAAAATTAGAAAGTAAAAAATAGATAGTAGAAAATCTTTTAATCCACAAACTTTAGGAAATAAAATCCCGATTGGGATTCAATTATTTTTTCAACGTTTTAAACTCCCCTGGATAATCAGTCGCCGCTGTTTCTGGAGGGAGGGCTAAAAGCCCCCTTTCCTCTCATGGGGGAAAGTACTTTAGTAGCTTACGTAGGTAGAAAAAGGTAGTTAGAATTTAAGAGAGGTAGCTCTCACCCAGTCTCTTCCACGCTGCTTTCATGTTGCCTGGTAAGTGTGACTTTGGCTGTCCGCAGCCTAGGGACCGGCCATTTGTCCGCCGGTTTGGAGGGAACGCTAGCTCTAACGGGAGAGCTACTGCTCTCCCGCAATCCAGCAAAAGACCCTCCTTGCTGGTCGCCTATACAGGGCGATTCTTTGACCCTTTTAGGGCCCCCCAGTGATGCAAAACTGGATGAGGAAGACGGAGCTCGTCTTCCAACTGTCCATGGCGGCCACGTCGGCAAACCAGAAGTCTAATTTGTATTCTCTGTGGCATGATTTGGTAAAGCTGCTAAAGTGTAATCCTTTTGTTATGATTATATACTGTGGTTTTGTAATTATAATTGCAAATATTGTATTTTATGGCTTATTTCCACTATCATGCAACATGAATTGTTTTAGATTAAGCAGCATGCAAGCTAAATGAATAAATGAATGATCCAGGAAAAAAATCAATACTCTCCTTTTGCAATCTAGGAATAATAGTACAATATTAAATAGATAAGTAGGTAGTTATAGCCATAGTTACTTTTCAAGAATTGGAAATAAAAATTTCAATCTATTAAAAAAATTACAAACATGCATTTGTGAATAAACTTACCAGATAGTAGCTAACTGTGTCTGAGATAAGTTTGACTGTAGAAGAACATTTCTTGCCTGAAATCCTTAATAAATCAAATGTAACAATTTACTACACACATTAACATCTAAAACCAGTTAGAGCTATGAACTAATGATCTATATTTTAAAAAGGTATCCAACTAATTTCATTTTAAATTTCATTCCAAAAGACAGTCTTACAAAAAATTCCAAACATAAGCAGCACAGGGAGCCAAAATTTCTGTGGTACGTTCTTGCAGTCATAAATTGAGTTGAACCACGTTTTCATGATAATTTTTATGGCAGTCAAGTGAATCATGCAATTGTTAAGCTAATTGTCAGAACCCGTTCCTTTGCTGGGGGGGATTACCTCTATTCTTTTCCTTTCTGCGGGTTCTGCCATACTCCTGGGGGGAGGGGGAAAGCTTTGGGGATTTGACATGTTAATTCTTCCTTTCACTTAACCGCTACAATGTATCCTCTCCGCTTCCTCTATCTGCTTGCTCTTTGAACTGTCTCCCCTTGATACCAGCATGGGGTGAGAAAGGAATGTGCCTCTGGCCATCTGGCTTCTCTCTCGCTACGGAAGAAGAGATGCGAAGACCCAACAACGTTTTCACAGCCTTGGGAATGGAGTCTTATCAGCCCCATTCCCACAATGGACTAATACCTGGGGATTGGCCCGTTTGAACTGACTGGATGAAATATTGAAGTGGGGTTTACTTTTTGCTCCTTTAACCTATTGATTTGAGTGGGAAATCCTCAGATCCTGCCTTCTATGCCTGCTGTCAACTTCTCCTAATAAAAGTTCCTTTTGGGATGACTCCATTCCAAGAGTTCTACTTTCTTGGGAAGAGGTTTTGAAGCGGGTCCAACATTAATCTAGCTTTTCCAATGGGTATTTTTTTGCTAGAAATCAGCAAAAAAAAGTCTGAAATCATGATCATTGGACCACAGGATGCTGCAAACCAATCATAAATGTGAGCTGACTGCCAAGAGCCCTAATTGAAACCACATAACTACACTACTTAAGAACCCAGGAGAAGCTGTGGCCTCAAGCCTTGGGAGATACAGTGCATTCACTTTTGTCAAATTTGTTATGCTGAAGCCTGATTCTACAGTTATTAAAATTCATTTTTTCTCATCAATCTATACTCAGTACCCCATAAGGACAAAGTGAAAACAGAATTTTAGAAATGTCTGTAAATTTATTAAAATGAAAAAACTGAAATATCACATTGGTATAACTATTCAGACCCTTTGCAACAACATTTGAAATTTAGCTCAGGTGCCTCCCATTTTTCTTGATCATTGCCGACATGTTTCTACACCTTGGAATCAATCTGTGGTAAATTAAATTAATTGGACATGTTTTGAAAAAGAACATACCTCTCTATAGAAGGCCTCACAGCTGACAACACAGACTGTAGCAGAGCAAAAACCATGATGTCAAAGGAACTGCCTGCAGAGCTCAGAGACTATTGCAAAGATTATTGCAAGACACAGATCTGGAGAAGACTACAATAAAATTTCTGCTGCACTGAAGATTCCTAACAGCATAGTGGCCTCCATAATTCTCAAATGGAAGAAGTTGGCACAACCAGGATTCTTCCAAGATCTTGTCACCCGGTCAAATTGGGGGAGAAGGGCCTTAGTAAGAGAGGTGACCAAGAACCCGATGGTCACTCTGGCTGAGCTCCAGAGATCCTGTGTGGAGATGGGACAGAGTTCCAGAAGGACAACCAACCCTCCATCGATCTGGGCTTCATGGCAGAGTGGCTAGATAGAAGCCTCTCCACAGTGCAAACATATGAAAGCCTGCTTGGAGTTTGCAAAAAAGCACCCGAAGGATTCTCAGACTGTGAGGAACAAGATTCTCTGGCCTGATGAAACCAACATTGAATTTTTTGGCCACAATTCTAAACGTTATCTCTGGGGGAAACCAGGCATCGCTCATCATCTGCCCAATATCATCCCAATAGTGAAGTGTTGTGGTGGCAGCATCATGCTGTGGGAGGATTTTTCAGCAGCAGCGACTGGGAGACTGGTCAGGGTTGAGGGAAAGCCGAATGGGCAGTCAGGGATATCCTCAATGAAAACCTGTTCCACAGCACTCAGGACCTCAGACTGGGCCAAAGGTTCACTTTCCAACATGACAATGATCTTAAGCACACAGCCAAGACAACACAGGAGTGACCTAGGGACAACTCTGTGAATGTCCTAGAATGGCCCAGCCAGAGCCCTGACTATTGAACATTTCTAGAGGGACCTGAAAATGGCTGTTCACTGACAGTCGCTATCCAACCTGACTGAGCTTGAGAGGATTTGCACGGAAGAATGGCAGAAAATCCTCCAATCCAGGTGTGCAAAACTTGTTGCATCATACCAAAAAGGCTCGAGGCTGTAACTGCTGCCAAAGGGGCTTCAGCAAAGGATTGAGTGAAGGTTCTGAATGCCAATGTGATATTTCAGTATTTTCTTTTTAATAAATTTACAGACATTTCTAAAATTTTGTTTTTACTTTGTCCTTATGGGGTTCTGAGTATAGATTAATGAGAAAAAAATGAATTTCAACAACTGTAGAATCAGACTGCAGCATAACAAAAATGACAAAAGTGAAAGGGAGTCTGATTTCTGAATGTACTGTAGATGCACTGCCTTTCCTAACTGTAAATTTTAATGTATATAAGGCAAAAACTAATAAATACCACTGGTATTATAATAATTTGTCAAAATTAAATTAAATTTAGTTTTTGTCCCAACACAACTCTCAGGCGATAATGTCTGGAAACCATTAAAAAGTCATGTATGGTAAATGGCCTGAAAAATATTGTAATTTATCAATAGCAATAGTACTTAGACTTATATATGCCCCATAATGCTTTATAGCACTCTCTGAATGGTTTACAGCAGGGGTGTTAAACTGCTGGCCCGCGGGCCGGACGTGTCACGAGGAAACCGCACCCACTCCATTGTCAAGCAATGGGGGAAAAGCTCCGATACATCGCGAGTTTGACATGTCTGGTTTACAGAGTCAGCATATTGGCCCTAACAATCTAGATCCTCATTTTACTGACCTCAGAAGGATGGAAGGCTGAGTCAACCTTGAATCAGTGAGAATCAAACTGCTGGCTGTCAGCAGAATTAGCCTGCAATATTGTATTCTAACCATTGTGCCACTTCAGCTTCTCATTTCTAATTTATACACTCATGAAAAACCACAATATGTTTGCATGTACTTGATAATGGAATATCACCCCAGCTAGATCTGAGAACTAAGATTCCATTTGTGTATAGTTCCTTAGTCTATAGTCCAGGGTTGAGCAGGATGGGATCAGATGAATATTGGGAAACTCAGGAAATCCAGGGCTCTGGCTTGGTTGGGAATCGAAAAAATATTCCTGAAAGCATATATCCATTCTATAACTAACTATAGAGATACATCCATGAAGACCCCAAATTTTGTCTTTGACTTGAAGGAGATTCTACCTTATTTCACAATACATAAAAAAGTATTTTCAAAGTAATTCCCTTTGAAATGCTTTTTAAATTAAAATTTAATTTAAAATACATTTTAATATGTATTGCAAACATGCAGAAAAAAACATTTTGTTAATTAAAACTAGGACAATATGATATAATGTGTAGATTCTTTCAAAACCAGAAAAATGATTACTGAAAAAAGGGTATTAATTTTAAAATAAATCTTGTGTATTTTTATTTTTGAGAGCCAGTCTGGCTAATGGTTAAGGCACCAGGCTAGAAACTGGGACATTGTGAGTTCTAGTCCCGCCTTAGCCATGAAAGCCAGCTGGGTAACCTTGGGCCTGTCACTCTCTTTCAGATCAGTCCACTTCATAGGGTTGTTGTTGTGGGGAAAACAGGAGAAGGAAGATGTTTGTTCCCTTGAGTTATTTGTAAAAAAATAAAGAGAAGGGATGTAAACAAATATAAACAAACAAACAAACCAACCAACCCATCTTTAAATCCAGCACTAACCTGAAAGGTATCCACTCATTCCTTTATCAAGGCTATTAAATTTTTGCCTGTATTTTAATCTTGAAGCCTGAGGAACTGCCCAATCTAAAGATCCTGTCTTTGGTGAATTGCCAGTTAATGAGGTAGAAGAAGAAGAATTTGAACTGTAATATAAACCAGAGTTGATTAAAAAAAAACCATGATATTCAAAATTAACATTCTTCTTCTATTTTTCTGCAGATTACTATTTTTTCCCAACCAATCTTCCCAAATACTGAGATTACACTTCAGGTGCAAAGATAATCAAAAGAAGTGATCTCGTTGGGGAAAAAAAAGAAATTAAATCTATTGATTGAGACTTAATATTTCAAGTATGAAGATCCATACCTACTAGATCCTAAATCTATCAAGGATTGAGTTTTCTGAATGTTGGAACCACCAAACCCGCCTATCATGGGAGTATATGAACTAGAATGAGGCAAAGCTGAAACAAGAAAAATATTGAAATGGGTTAATAATTAGTCCAGTCCTGGAAAGAAACATCATCATCTCTACTGGAAAAAAGACTTATCCATGTTGCTGAACCCTGATTGCCAGTATTGAGAAAGTCAAAGGAGGTGTCCAACCTTGGCAACTTTAAGACATGCCTGGCTGGAGAATTGTGGGAGTTGAAGTCAAGTTTTAAAGTTGCCAGGATTGGACATCCCAATATATAAAAACATTTGAATGTATACGTAAGTGCATTTCTTTTAGGTGCATAGATCTGAAAACTTTTATACTAGCTTTGAGAACGTCTCTGATTCCAAGGCCTATTAACCAAAACCTGAGGGAAGAACCTGTTGGGCGGGGGAGGGGGTTCCTAAGGAAAGGGATCAGTCTTTTGAGGGGACAGGAGTTAGACTGGGAAATAAAATACTATAAGTAATTTAAGCATCTGCAAAGCCAATCAAGCTGCCTCCCGGGTCAAAGCAGACTAAAAGTGATTGTTTCACCATCTCTACTGATCCTCAGCTAGTACTCTCCGATTCTCTATTGGTTCTCTCAAGCTCAGAAGTTCTGACAAACAGCATACTCACTCCTCTCTTAATGTACTCCACATCCAACTCCTCTTTCCAATTTATATTTTATTTTCTGTTTCCTCTATTATTCCCATCTTCACCACACTTCCTCCTCCATTTTATTCCCTTTTTAAAATTAGTTGTAAAGACATTGTTCTGGAAAATCTAAGCTATACAGTTTTATTTATGAAATTTTATTTTGCTGTAAAGATCAGCTTTAACCCCATTCTGAATAACTGCAAAGTGCATGGAATATTGATGCATTGTTTTTATGGGTTCTGTAGCTGGCCAGAAAAGACACTGCCCAGAACCCAACCACAAATTGAGGACTTTATGCCACTGACATAGGTAAAAGAAGTGACAAAGGAGAGGGAAAAATAAATCCCACTTGCAGAGTGGAAAAAATGGAGCCTATATCTCCCTCCACATTGACAGGTGGGAAAATCAGTTTGCATAAATAATAGTAAATTATTTTTTAAGTAGGGGAGGGGAGATAGTGCACCTCCTTCACCCCTCTGCTTGTTCTCCATTACAAAACAAAATATTGGGGAGGGATTTCTGGGGGAACAGAGGAGAATGGAACAAATAGGATACATGTGGGAGAAAAAAAACCTCGCTAGGAATGGAGACTAGATTGGCTTTTCAGTCTTGATTGTTTTTATGCAAAAATGCCCGAGTCAGGCTATCAACATTCGGAAACTAAACATTTGGAAACTAAACAACATGCTCGGAGAACAAACCACCACCATCAGGCTGTCAAAACTGGAAACTTTCTGGCATTAAGGTACTCACTGGAAGAGTAGGACATAGTTAATGGCTGAAGAAGGCTGGAGGTTCCATTTGGCAATAATGGAGGGCTGGCAGAAGGCAACAATGGGGTCGAAATCACCATGGGAGAAATAGAAGGTACAGATGTCAGATTGGACATGGGAGCCAAAGGCACCACCGTAGACAGATTTGGCATACTGCCCATACCTGGAGAAATTCAAGAGTCAATATAAATACACCAGTCCAAGAATATGCAATCCACCCCTCTCCCTGAAATAGATGGCTGGCTCCATTTGCATATGCTTCTCTTTTTAAAAATGATTTTTCTGAAACTGGCTGTTGAGAAAGAATTCAAAGGGCTAGCTAGACTAAACATTTTGTTTTTAATAAATTACTATCCTTGAATAAATTTGTATTCCACTAATGTGGACATTTGTATCTATCACCAGGACAGATATTGTAAAAACTGGTTTTGGTTAGGCAGCTTATACTTGCACAAAGCATTATTTCATTTGTTCCACCAAATGACCACAGTTGCCACTTCTGGCTGGGAAAATTAGCATAAGTCCAAACACTGGAAAGCAGTAGAATGAAAATATAATTACTTGTTTTTACTGTACTCAATGGCTATCAAAATAATCTTTAGCCATATTTTCTTCACACAGTTTTAACAAATGTAATGCTTATACAAATCTGCAGAGAATCCTCCATCATTATCACGCGTAACAGAGAAGGGGCCAATCTCTAGATATTTGCATGATTACCAAAACGAGCAGAAATCAAGGGAGAAAATGCTGGAGACTGTTTCATGATTGGAGGAAGCACCATAGGCAAAGACTGGCCTTGCAGTTTCAGTTTGATGAGTTTCATAGCTATGGAGAACTCCAGCTGATCCATTTTCCCATCTTTATTCAGGTCACTAAGAGCCCTTTAAAATAAACAAAATGCACACAAACTGAGAGTATGTATATATGTTCAATTGTTAATGATAGTGGTTATTACTTTGTCAATTACTCACACCTAACAGAGCATGAAGTTTTTCCCACTATTTCTAGCAATATCTGTTGCTGATCCCTTATCTCCAAACAAGTCTCACAAGCATGTTCTTTAGTAATCCTGGTATGTAAAACAGCCAATGGGCAAAGGTGAGAATTCAGCACACTGAAAACCACAAATCCAAGGGCTATATTTGGCCGTAGATCACCAAGTGCTATTTATAACTATTAGGAAAACGATATAAAATTACATCCACATTCATAACATCTAAACTCTTACTTTACAAAGTATGCTTGGAAGAAAACTTATCAAGCTGATGAAATACCAACCAATCTCCATTAGCACCCAATTCAAATGTGCTCTTTTGTTACTAAACTTTTTAAAAGAAAATCCTTTTTGAAGGATGGATTCTCTAATCAGATTCTCAAATTATTTTCAGAAATGATACTAATGAAGATCCCTTTTAAGAGTTCTGCCTTTTAATAGGACCGTTTTACAGTAGAAAATTAGATTTAGATGTAAACGTGCCATTTTTAAGATAATGCCAGTCCATTGAGGATCTGTATATTGCATGGGGCAGAAGGAAAATTGAGAAAATATCTACAGACCCCTCACATTCTGGACATAAACTGTTTCAATTCCTCCCCTTGTGACACTGTTACAGGGCACTGCATGCCAAAACAACCAGACACAGAGATAGTTTTTTCCCTCGTGTATCGTTCTGCTGAACACCTAATTCCCACAGTACTGTCTTATGTCTTAGGATATTTACCCTTGTAATACGGCTTTAGTATTATTATTATTATCCTTCTCATCTTTTCTACTACCTTGTCTCATTGTCATGATTATTATTACTTTGCTGTTTTGCATGTACACTGAGAGTTTATGCACTGGAGACAAATTTCTTGTGTGTCTAATGACATTTGGTCAGATAAATTATTCTCTTCTCTTCAAGGTGGTCCTTGAGTTATGACTATTCATTCTGTGACCTTGCAAAGTTACAGTAGTGCTGAACAAATGATACTAATGTGGTCATGTGATCAAAATTCAGGTGCTTGGCAGTTTGTTCAAACTTATAACCGCAGGAGCATTTAAACTTCCCTCACCTGCCTATTTTCACTCCCATCTTTGTCCTTTTGGCCACCCTGCACAGCAGCATTCCTTGGCAGTAGCACTGCAGGCTTTTGGCAAATGCCATGATTTTGGTTTCTGATAGTTAAGCCCTAGCT